GCTTTCATACCATGACGTTCCATTACATTACGAAAACGAATTGATGGGTATTTATCAATTGCCCTAAAAAAGAAGAAAACATTTGAATACAACAATAAATTATATATTATTTTGTTTTTTTTTTACCATTGATTCAATGGACAACCACTTTGTGCTATAACTCGAGCTATTAAACTATCAGATCGTTTTGACATTGCAAGTAATACAGCATTAGCTGCACCGGCTGAATGTCCAATATAAGTAATACGTTTTGGATCACCATTAAAATTTTTTGCATTAATTGATACCCATTTTAATGCTAAAATTTGATCTTGTAAACCATAATTACCAGACATCATATCAGGACCTGGTGTTAGAAATCCTAATATATTTAAACGATAATTTATTGTTATAACAATAACATTGCCTAGAGCAGCAATAGCACTTCCATCGAATAATGAAGCTGAACCAACTTGATTTGAACCACCATGACAAAAAACCATAATTGCTTTTGATGATAAAGATTTTGTTTTAGGAATAAACATATTTAATGTTAAACAATCTTCTTCATACATATCTGATAATTCAAATGGACCATATGAAAGTCCACCAGATGCTTGAAGACAACCCGGTGCTCGTTCAGTAGCACGAATAATAGTTGTTGAATTATATTTTCGTAATATTGACATTTCAAAACGAACAGGTTTTTCACCATATGGAATACCAAAAAATTGTCGTACTGGAACATATTCAATAATTACTTCTTTACCTTCAAATACACCTGATGTTGTATTAATATGTAAATCATTTGATAAGATTTTATGAAAAAAGAAGAATATAATAAAAATTCTTAAGAACATCGAGGATTCGACCATCGATGAGAAAAAATTAATAATTTCTTGTTTTGCATCGATCTTAAGTAAATAATAAAGAGAAAGACAAACAAAACATAAGAACTCTTTTCTATTTATCCGAATGTTTTACATGATTACTTATTGTTAATCGATTTCTTTTTTTTTCTTATATCTTCTAACAGATTTTTTCATCTGTTACAGCTTCTTATTCCAAAACAAAATTACTTCAAAGAAAATTTGCTAGACTATAATCTCGTATCTTATACAAAATATCTCAAATTAGTTTGACATCGAATCTAATCTTAAACTGAATAATCAGCAAAAAAATTTTATTCATATCTTAGATTGAATCATGTACAAAACTATATATCACAATGAAAAATTAATTAGCAGATGATAATAATGAAGAAGTAGAATAATTATTCCATTTGTATTAAAACTAAGAAAAAAAAAATAGTTACACTTGAAAATAAGTGTCTAATTGACAATTACCGGTCTATAGTATGTGAGATAAACGATAATGATCATTTAAACTAACTTCTCTTATGATTAGCACATATCTAAATGTCGAAAAGAAAGAATGTTCGATGAAAATAAGAAAAAAAACTAATAGTCTTCGTTCTTTTCTTTTTTTTCTTGTTCGCCAATGTCAATAGATTCAATCATGAAACATTTACTGATTCTTCAGTAGTCATTGTCGTCATTTTTTTTTTTGCTTTAAGATTTCCTCAGTCGGAAATCATTCGAAAATTGAACGATTCATTTTGCTTGCGATGTTAAGAAAGGAAAAAGAAAAAAGAGAAGAACATAGTGTTTCTTCTAACATTTTCTAGAATATTGACAGTTACTAACTATGATGATAAAACAAATATGAAATAGAAAAAAGATAGTTCTCGGCAAACCTGTAAGAACTTTCTTCCTTCTATATCGTCATAATATTATTAGACTTTTGCTATTAAATATCCTTGAACTACCTAAGATGAACATTATATACTCATTCTTTCTCAAATAACGAACGAAAGAGGTGGACTATGTTTGAAATATATATATATATATATGTGTATACATATACATGCCTGTAGATGTACGTTGTTTATTTTATTTTTCTCTTGCGCAATCGATTGAATAGTGTATGTATGTGTGGCACAGCATGCAATACCTGTATGGTGTGAATGTAATATACACACGAGAAGAGCGAAAAAAAAGAAAAAGAAAAGTGAATTCATTCGTAATTTTGACCTTTTTTCTATTTAATCAATGATAATCGATAAAGTAACAAACGTGAAAGATTAATTTGACAAGTTATAGTTTATGATTAGGATCACTAATAGATAGAATTCAAATAGGAGAAAAGATATGAACATAAATATATTTTTCACATCATATCTTATTCAAGTTAAGTAGTCATACTTGGCATTTGTGTATCGAATATAAGTGATGGAGTATAAATTGAAATGAAAATGTCATTGTTTACGAAAATACTTATCTCTTTTATTGTAATGTTACAATTTATTGTATGATATTGTATTACATTTCAATTAATATATTAATTCTTATTCTTTGAAATATCAAATTTAAAAAAAGATTAATTTGATTCATTTCTTATTCATAATAAATTGTCATGTTAAAAGAAATTTTTATTTGAGAATTATATAAGTCTCAAGTACAAGTATGATAGAATGAACTTTTTCTATTACATAATCAAAAATTTATATCTTTGAGATGAGATTTGACTATAAAACATTGTTTTTTTATTATCATTTTAATCAAAAAATTTCAATCGAGAATTTATATTATTCATATTTAATATAAATAAGACCTTCACTAAACCTTTTTTTTTTTGTGTTCATCATTTTGCTTAATCCACAAGAAGAAAAAAATCCTTGACAATTTTCTCATATGTTCTCTATCGAACATCTTATAAACATAGTTAAGTCTGTCTTGAGTAGTGTGTTGTTCTCTTTTTTTTTTCTTCTCTTCACGTCATCATTAATATTAGAAATAATACACAATCAAACAAATTGATGACATTAGTCAACATATTTATATTTGAAAAATAATCGGATCGTACACAGAAAGCAAAGAAAAAAAAAAGACTATTGTAGGAAGTTTGTCATAATTTTATTAGTAAATATTTTGAATGAAAATTCGTATTTAAATAACATGCATTCGAGAGTGTATATACAAAATTATATCTATTTTTAACATCAACAATTAGATTTTATGTGCTATTATTCATAAATGTTATATTTATATGTAATAAATATAGATAGTATTTTGATTTTGATTTTCTCCATCATATAATTAATAAATATCTTTAAATAGATATAAATCCTTGAATGCCATTATGATAGCCTCATAAATCAATCAAAATCACTATCCTAATAAATACGTGTTCTTTTTTTTTTTTACACTGTCATATAAACATAGACACATGCTATCGAACGATTGTTTTCATCCAAAGATCGATAATCTACGTGTTGTTCTCAATTGTTTTTATGTTTATTTGATATGTAATGCATTTCAATATGCAAAACAAGTTATATTTCAATATCCATATTCAATTTCAAAAATATATCCTAGAATATATATATCTACTCGAAGTATTGTTAGTGCTTTTTGTATATTAATATGTTCTAGTTTGATTCTATATACATTATGGTTTGAACATGCTGGTCTATTATTAGTATCAATAATATTATTAATTGTACTTTTACTAATACGTTTTATATTTGATATATATGGATATAGTGTTGGTTATTTTGAATATTCACTTTATCCTTCATTTGATTTAATAACAACAAATATAACAAAAATAAATATTACTAAAGAAAAACAAATGAAAGAAGAAATAACTGATTTTAGTATGGAATTAATTATAAATATAATTGGAATTCTATTAACAATGTTTATAATTATTCGCATGATAAGAAAAAAATATAAAAGACGACAAATGGAATTAGAAGCTTTAAGAATTGATGTTATACGAAGAGTAACTTTATAAATCAATTGTATTTTTTTTTTGCTTCTCATAAAGATAAAAAATTATTTGATTATTTCTAGTTTTTTTCTTTAATTGAAAATTAATCGACAAAAGAAAAAAAAAAAGTGAAGTATCATCATTTTTGACGTTTGTTTTTTTTTCCTCTAACTTTAAATTATCTATTCTATATAAAACATCTATTGTTATTCAGCCTTAAGCTATAAATCAAAATAGAACGATTAATATAATTATTAGTATTGTTATTTGAAATGAAAAACTATCCTTGTACGTTAACCAAAGATATATATTGTACCAGATAGACTTCATTAGCTAACTTGTTTTTCTGCTTCAATTAATATCTTTTAGTTCAAATACTATTCCATTTCATGCTCTATACACTATGCCTCATAGAGCAGAAAACAAAATTCTGTTGATCCTTTTTACTTTTAATGAATGAAAAATATTCAATTGAAGTAAATGAATGCATCGCTTAAAATACTTCGGAAACTATTGTTTGTATTAATGAAATAGAATATTCACTTTTTTCAGCTTTTATTACATTTAGAAAATCAAAATACAAAAAAAATAAAATAAAATAAACAAAATCTTTTCTTGTAGAATAACCTATGGCGTCAAAGCTTTCGTGCAATTCAATCGGCATTGGTAAAAAAGAATCGCACTTTTAAAATCTGTCATGCAAAAGTAATTAAGACATTTTGTAGAGCAAAGTTTACTCTACAAAACTAACAAGGGAATGATTCTAAGTGTCAAATTGCTGTTGAGTTGGAACTATGTGTATTGTTCGATAGTCATTCGGATAGCAAATGAACCATGTGAAGAATATGAATATATTTAATTACAACAATTTTTCAATCCTACTTGAACAATGAATATTTTCTATCGTAGTCATTCTGAATAAAGAATGATCTTTAGAAACACGAAATAAATTTATTCGATAGAAAAAATTTTTCATTGTACCTGTATCACATAAATTTTATTCTGCAATAAATCGAGCACAAAATAAATAATATACTATAAAACAATAGAAATAATAGAATGAAATTATTCAATGATTGTACTTGAAGAATGAATATTTTGTACCATAATCATTGTAAATAAAAACTGATATCTAGAAAAAGGAAATAAATAAATTTTAAAAAAAAAAATAATTTTTCATTTTACCTCCATTATGGATATTGTGTTACATAATAGTTATAACACAAAATGAATAATGCTTTCAACAGTAGTTTCTTGTTAATCCTAAATAAATCTGGTGATATCTAAAAAAAATAATTTATTCTTGTACATGCACGATGAGAATTTCGTTCAACAATATTTCTGATAGAAAATGAATAATACTTACAATGAAAACAAAAAAAAAAAATGGAAAAAAAATTTTTTTTATCATACCATCATGGTAGTTTGTTCGATTAATTACTGACATACCTGATGATAATACGAAAAAAAAGATCAACAAGCATAAATTATCAACCTGATCGACTAGAAAATGACTAATATACAATAACATCCATACAAAAAAAAGAATTTATGAAAGTAAATTTTACGGTTAATAATAGTGTTAATATCTATTCTACTATTTAAAATTTTTCTTTGTTCAATATAATTTGTCAATTTAGTGCGTTCATTAAACTCAATTCAAAATGTTTGATAATTCAAATGAAACAATATTCCTGGACAATTTCAGTTATGAGTAAGAATAGTTTTTTGGCAGATTTATTTAACAATAAAATTTGTTTCTTTTTCTTAGTACAACTGATGAAACTTTATGAAGATTTTGTGCACAATTTGGGAAAATGACGGATTGTTTGATAATAAGAAATCCTAAAGGAAAATCATGAGAATTTGGTTTTGTTACTTATACAAGTATCGAATAAACTTATTGAAATTACAGAAATGAATACTTTATGTTTTATAGAAACATCAGCAGCACCACTTTTTATATGATCAAAACTATATTCCACCGAAAATCGTCAAACTGAACCTAAAAAAAATAGTGAAAAAAATTATTTTTAAATCTACTTGATTTTGTTTTATTAATGCCACGAGACAAATAAAATTATTCTGAAGCACATTTATCAGGAAAAAGATTATTTGTTCGTTGTGTGTAACATAGCAATGAACGTGGTCTTTATGAATATTTTTCGAAATTTGAAACTATTGATGAAATTATTATTATCAAAAGTTCTAATGATTCGTTTAAATTAATAAATTTTAAATAAAATAAAACTTTTTTTTAAAGGAAAATCTCGTGGTTTTGGTTTTGTTGAATTTATTGACTCCAAAGCTGTTGATAAAGCTCTTCTTCAAAAACCATATATCATCAATGGTCGAACAATCGAGATGGAAAGAGCTGTACCAAAAGAAAACATGCAAGCACAATCTGGATCCAATTCAACAGCAAATTCTCGTCCACCACCTCTGATTGTTCCATCACATCCTACTATATCATCATCAACATCATCATATAGTCAACAAGGTATTAACTCAAATGTATCACATTTTAATCCACCAATACCTCGTAATGCTGTTTATTCACAATCATTTGATTCAATGAATCAAAATCAATCATCAAATTCAAATTATATACAACCACCTCAATCATCTTATAGACAAAATCAACAATAAGGTTTTGAAAATAATCCAAATAATTTTGGTGAAATGAATCATCCATTTATTTTACCATCACTATTATTCAGTGGAAATGATGGATATAATCATGTTTCATCAGCATCATTACCATTTTATAATTTTCAATTCATCTGGAGTTAGTGTACAAAATTATGGTGGTGAAAATTATAACAATGTGCCTCAACAATCATCATCTCGTAGTGGTGGTCCTATGCATGAAAGAAGAGGGTAAGTCTAATGTATTTAAACATTAATAGTGTTACATGATCTTCTTTTTTTTCTTCAAGTGGTGGTGGTGGCACTTATGGTAATCGCTCGGTTCCTTATTCATCACGTGGTGATTGTCATGTTTGCTCTGATCGTGGTCGTGGTGAACAATCAATATTTTATATAAACTGTTGAAAATGTATATCTTTTGTATTTCATTAATTCTTTTGTTTCTTGACTTTTTTTCTTACATTTTTTCTTGTCGTGCTTCTAATCAATTGTATCAGGTAGTTTCTTTTTCTTTTGTCCTTGTTTCTTTTAAATAAATCTGAATCACCTAATTGTTCATATTGATAATAACGATACTTATCCATACGTTTCAATATTGACATTAATTTATCTTTTAAGATTTAAATATCATCCACTATTATAGACAAGTAACGCTTGTCTGCGGACTCGTTCAGCTCTTTCTCGTAGAAATACTGTTTCTGAACTCTCAACAAATTATTTATTTACACAATTTCAATATATTAGAAAATGTTAATAATTAATTAAGCAAAACTTATCTCGGGTTGAGCTTTACCACCCTCAATTACATTTGGTCAAGTTTTTGAGACAATTATCCCTTTTTTTGTCGCATTGGTCACCGACCTATCAGTGAATTGCAGACACACAAGCAGACAATTTATGTTTGTTGGACTCTTCTCTACGAGAAAGAATGAGTAAAAATCACAGAGAGATACTTTCGATGAGTAGTATAGCCAATGGTACTAGTTCAAAGCAGTATCTATTGACGATTTATTTGTTAATAAAAGTTTTGAAGAATTCTCTCTCATTGAGGAAAACACTAGTCCGATTAATTGAAGTAGATTAGAGATACTGTGTTTTATTATCGTCTAGTTATTTATGAACCATCCTGTATATATTTTTACAAAAAATGATTCATTTTAGCAGCAGACTCATCACATAAAACTTAATTGTTTTTTTTTTCGTTCAATTTTATTTTGGGTAAAATAATATTTAATACCGATTAAATAGTTTATGCCAAAAAAACAAAACTCGACAGACGATCGACATGACAGACAACAACAAAAAAACAGAACTCATAATTGGCAAAGCATCGTCTAATTCGATTACTTTCGAAATGAACAACATCGAAAAAAAAAGAGTACTACTACATAGTGAGATTGAATGAAAAATGAGTCACACATATAGAAAAACAAAACAAAAGAATGTCTCTCTCTCTCTCTCACGTATTCAAAGCGTTTATGTTGCACTTTATCTGACAAGAGAGACTTATATAAACTCTCTTTTTCTGATCAAACCATGAAATTAAAAAAAGAAAAAAAAAAACAAAACAAAAAAAATCAATGCTCCCCTTTTCTCTAACTACAAAAAAAAAAATTACTCGATATACAAAAAAAAAAGGGTGATATATATGAGAAGCACTACACAGCAAACAGACGACATGTATCAATTTTACAAAAAGAATAATCCGAAGCTTTTCGCTGCTTATTTTTCAATACTTTTGGTTTTACCATTACCATTATTATTATTATTATTATTATTATTATTATTATTATTATTATTATTTGTTACACTTGTCGGCTTTCCTTGTTGTTTAGGTTCTTCATTATTAACTCGAGATCGACGACCTGAACCTGCTTTTGATAAAAACACAAAAAAAATTAAATTAATATGTAAAAAAATTAAATTCTCCCATTATAGATGTCAAAACACAGCTCATAGGAACCAATATTTTAACCATCTAGGAGAATACAAAAAAATATGGATATATATATACACATAAAATACAGTTTTTTTGTCTTTTATTCTTGTGTTTTTTTCAGAAGACGAATAAAAAATGTCAAACATACAGAAATACTGTTTATAACTATAAATCTTGTCTATACAATATATATGAGATGCATGGTGATATTTGTTTTTATATCATGATTAAGCTATAAATCACACCGGATAGATGATTTTTTTGTTGTCAAAATATAAATCAAAAGAAAAAGAAAGAATACAACAATATTATTGTTGTTGGCATTGTTGTTGAAAACCTAGAATTACAAAAATAAAACACTATATGAGTAAAGCTTAATGTCGCAATTAAACATTTTAAAATGTTTTAGCGGTACATGAGCGATACTCAATTATGTGTATCCAACAAAATACCAAAATAGAAAGAAAGTATGATTACACACCACCAGAATCTAAATGATTAACAAATGCTTGTAATAATTCATCTTCACTCCAAATACGACTATTTAGTACATTGAGTAAATCAGCTGGAATTATCATTAATTCACTTGGTGTACCAGCACGACTAGTTGAAGGTGATAAAAATGGACTTAAAGCAGGACTTAATGCTGCAAATGCCTATAGGAAAAATAAAAAGAATTATAATTAAAAATCATCATTTTTCCTTTACTAAAATTCAAGAAAACAAAATCGAACTATTTTCATATATTTTATAGTTAGTATAAATCGTATAAGTTCAATCTGATCTGAAAATAGATATATGAGCGAATCGTACTTTTGTAATTGTTCTTCATCCGGATACACTATTGGAATCTTTTCTACGAATTCTTTTCGGTATAATGCGAAATCTACAGTGTCATTTTAAACTTGAATGATTTCGTATTTTGGATATTAAATAATTTTTCATCCTATGTAGCAAAGTTTCCGAGGTGAAGAACTATTTTAGGTTTTGCAATCTCTGTCGAGCTTAAAAAGAAATGATTTTCTTTAGAGATGAGCAAACGATCATCATAGATCGAAACACAATCTAATCAGAGATCATCATAGATAGCGACAGACTCTAGTAAGAAATCGTCACAGATCGTGATTAGAGTCCGTTGGATCAAAAATTCTCAGATCTGATATCCAAGACCAATCTCGTGAGCTCTAATTATGAGAGATATTTATTGAAAGGGTGATGTAAAAGTTATCTGGCAGTCTTTGATTATGAATATTCGAAAGAGATTGTGTTGTTGCATGTATTATGCAACAATGCTTATTGATGGTCTGCGGAAAAACATTTATAACTTTATGAAGATAACAAAAAGAAAAAGTTAAATTATAAAAAAATGTGTTAGAATTAAATGATCACGATTTACACTCACAATATTATTTAGTAGTTCATCTTTTGTCGTTCAATAGTTCTAGATAGAATGCTAACCTGTATTAGTGTGATTATTAATCGTAAACATATGGTTCTAACGCATTTTTTACAATTTAATTTCTTTTTATTATCATCATAAAGTTGTCAATGTTTTGCCGCAGATCATCAACAAATATTGTTGAATGCGACAATACAGCTGTGAAAGTCAAAACTTACCATCTTATTCCTATCAAAAGTTATTCATAATCAAAGACTGTCCAGCAACTTTTGGACCATTCTGTATAATCATAGATCGTATATTCTCGTTATAACATATGAACTATTTCCTTACTGCATATTTGGATGATTAAGTAAAAATGATGTGATGAAGAAATGTGTTTCAAAAAAAACAAAACAATCTCTTTGTGATTAGCAGCAACAACTGTATCATATTTCATAATTATAATCCCATAGGGATTGTGCACTAAGAGCTTTTTCTATATATGCGTTATTTTAATCATTAAATTTAAAAAAAAAATACCTGTCCGAGTGGACTTTGAAAAATACGATTTCCTGGTGTATAAAGAACACCTAAAAAAATTTTTAAAAATAATTTATAAAAAAATATTTCAAATAAAACCATTATTTGATGAACTAGTCGATCCAGTTGGTGTAGCAGTATGTGATGATGATGATGATGATGTATGACGTACAAGACCATCATTTGTTGCTAACATTGGTACTGGTCGTGGAATGAGATTTTGTGCTGAACCAATTGATTGTGAAAATTGTACAACTTTTGTTGGACTTAAACCACTTTTATTTGGATCAGGTGGTGAACACTAAATATTTAAATAAATAATAATAACAAAATCAATAAAAATAAATTAAATATAACATACATCTTGTGATTCAGGTGGTGAACCATTAATTGATGTTGATGAATCAAATTTTAATGTTTGATGATGATTTTGTTGAATATGAACTAATGTTTTTTCTTTTCCTGTTGTTGATATCCATGCAGCTGGACTTAACATTCTTGATGAATTTGTATTTCCATTATTTGTACCTTGTGGTGTTTCTAAACCCGTTTGTGATTCACTTGAATGTGATTGTCCACTTGAATTTCTTGAACGGTGTTGTCGACTAACTTGTTCAATTTGTTTTTGTAATTGTGTACTACGTGTACGTTCTTGTTCATATAACATTAATAATAAATCACATATATTACGTGAATCTTGATTTGACATTGTTGAATTATTTTTTGTTTTATTAATACTATTTGTTAAACCAATATTATTATTATTATTATTATTATTATTATTAGTATTAATATTATTAGTATGATTATGATTATTATTATTATTATTAATATTTGTAGAATTATTAATTGATGATGAAGATGATGATGTTGAAGAAACATTACTATCATTACTATTACTAGCTGAACCACTTTCTAAAACAATTGATTTTGTTGTTGAATCATTGATTGTTTGAGAATTTGTTTTACGTTGTTTTGATGTACGACCAGTTGGTGTCATATTCATATATTCTTCAACTTCACGATCATGTAAATGTACATCATCATGAATAAGATCACGTTTAACCATAGTTGAAACTTTATCTGCTGATGTTATACGATGATAAACAGTTGTTGTTGGTGTTGATGAAGATGGAGGTGGTGGTGGAGGTGGAGGTGGAAGAAGTGTTTGACGAGTAACTTGTTGAACAATTGGTTGATCTTTAGAATTATTATTATTATTATTATTTGATACGGATAAAAGATTAGCAATATCAGATACAATAGGTGGTTTTGATGGAGAACGACGTTGTTGTTGTTGTTGTTGTTGTTGTTGTTGAGAAGATAATGGTGAAGGACGAGATGAAAGATTTGAATGACGAACCGATGATGTATTTGATGTATATTCAAGTAATTTTTCTGCAAGAATATTTGGTGGTACACTTATTGAAGCTGAAAGAAAAAAAAATTTTAAAGTTTTTTTCGTTCAATATTCTTTAAACTTACTTGATCGATTACATTTTCCATCATCATTAAGTGAATTTCGATTATTAATATTATTAGGTA